TGGGGTAGCTGTCGGGGCTTTGACTTACACAGGCATACACACCGTAGGTTATAACCGACAGGTGTCAGCTTTAGAACCCTGCCTATTCTCAAGGGGATATCCCGTTGGAGAAACAGCTAGTATAGCTAACACTTTCATGCAGAGATTTTTGGCTGTGAAAGGGGAGTTCCCCTCTTCAGTATTCAGAACTCCCGGGTGGGTTCATTCTTCAAGAACAGGGTGGTGGGCAAGAATGACAGAGTTCGTGCTGACAGAGCTAGAGGGATCATTGGCTCGATCTGGGCTCAGTTGCCCTGTAATGGCTACCAGATGTGGTATTGACTACAATCATTATAATTTTTAGCTATTCTGGAGAGATACAACCCGGAGACGTGTATATTTTTCACACCTGTGGGGGAATTAGGGTTTGCCCTCCACGAAATGTATGACGTTTCAGGTCTTCCTTTTGGAGACTTGCCCTACGAAGAGTTCATCCCAGGGTCAAGTGAGCTTAGGATTTTGAAGGAGATGAACCCCGATGTTTATGACACTCTATGGGAAGTAATGTGTCATTTTCAAATCTGCACCCAACTGACGGGGACACGAGGACGTGGTATAAAGCAGCTATCCTGGGCTGAATATCTATTCCAAAATTTGTCTCACAAGACTGTCGCTGTGTCTCATCGGAGCGTGAGCATCCCTGAGGCGATCCAAGCTTTAATCAACGATGCTACAGCCCATTATGTCAATGAGGGATTAGAAGATGATTTCCCTGCACAGACTGAATTTGAAAGTTTCCACCATCAGGCTACCATGCCTATTTCTGACATGGCCCTGTTGGCGGGTTTTCTCATGCTTTGGTTGAAACGATGTGTTGTCCCTACCAGGCCGATAGATGTTGTAGTAATAGAAGTGGTCTACCCAGCTGTCCTCTTGGCTCATGGGAGGCCTGTGAATCTACTTTCGGCTATGACATGTTGTCTGCAGCACGGTTTGAGGGAGCTATGTCTTGAATTCATTCAGGTGAAGGAGACAGGATCTGGAGAAAAGAAGAGTTTGATGACTCCAAACCCTCGAGTACCCCTGCCGTATACTTATTTGATGGTATGGTATGTATCCCACTGTCCTCATTTGATGAGTGCCCCATCTCCCTCGGACGAAGGATTCATCCCTTTTGTACAGAGACTGGAAGGAGCTACTTGGGAAGGCACATATATAGTGAGGGTTCGTCAAATCTTGTCGAGAGACCTCAATTATCACATATTCCACTATTTCCCAGACTTTGAAGGCGGTGGCTATGGACAAGTGTTCCAGGATACAGCTGGCCCGGATGGTTTTACCCGTTTAGATGGGGGAGTCTTCCACTGGCTATTGAACATTAGACCAGGTTATCTTCTCCTTAGGCAAGGTGATAAATGTATAATTGAGTCGTATCAACCGTACCGATTCGCTCGACAATTTGGGTACGATCAATTGTACGTTGGAAATCCACGGAGCCAACTTGCAATTGTTGGTAATATATACGAAGGGGCTCGGGCCTGGTACTACTCCACAACAGGCTGCACTGGAGCTACCTTTAGGTTACCTCACAAGACGCCCAATTCACTTCTCTCCATGGCTTTCTGCAATTTGTATCATACGGCTTCCAAGATACCTGATTATAAGTTGAATTTGTCAGGCTTACGGGAAATTAGAAGGATGTATTCATCCAGGAGAGGATCCTGTGTATCTCGTCTGAAGGGAATCAATGAGTTCTTATCTTATGAGGACGAGGCTGAAGAAGAAGAAGGTCTGGGACCAGAGAATGCTCCAATAGCGAGCCCTAAGGCTGCTAAAACTCCAAGAACGAGAGCAGTTGGAAAGAGGGCTCTTACCGAAGAAGAAGCAGTTCATACGAGAAACGTACTCGCAGGAAATTATTAGTAGACCCTCCTTCTCAGAAACTAATGGCTGATGCTTTCAAGTCCACTGAGAGAGAGTAGAAACAAGAATATGCTGTTGCAAATCGTCCCCTCCACACAGGACTTCACTCTGGGGGTCCTGCTTTTTCCAGTGAATTTTCATCCTATCATCCTTTGGATCAAGAAGAGGGCGGGGACGAGTCATTGATTGGGGATGTGGAGTCTTCTCCTATCATGGACCCTATTATTTCACCATTTCCAGGTCAGGCTTCAGATGCTACTCTTCTGACTGCAGAGCTGAAGAGATTAGGCCCCCTACAGACGAAAGTCAATCTCCTGCTGCTTCTATATTATTGCCACAGATGGGGGCTACTATTCCTAGCCCAACGACTGACATTATGACTAAAGTGGATGCAACTGCAAGTTCTCCCGGACTCTCGACTGTAGATGAAGAGGAACCGTTAGATTATGGGACCTCTTCTCATAGCGCTGATGCTGATGGGGAGGAAAGTGATGGTGACGATAATTCTGCCGGCTGGGCTGATCCACCACCACCATCTTCTGACAAGGCGTCCACTTATATTCCTTCTTCCCCTATTGGTAAAGATTACACACTCTGGTTTCTATGGTGCCCCTTTTTTTATACTAACTGCTCTTTTGTACAGGTTCTCCGACTCATGAGGCTGCTGATGCATCTCTGTCTCCCAACCAGCAAGCAAGAGCTACCTCTATCTCCGAACCCACACCGGTAACGACTACTTCCCTACAAGAAGAATCCCCTCTGCAAACGATTTCTCTCAAGTCTGCGGGGACGGAGAATGCACTGAGTTCAGCCCAGGCAGGGGCGCTCATGATTCTTCCTTCAAGTCCTTCGCAATTGAACATTTATATGGCTTCCCCGGCTTCTTCGCGATCGTTGCCAACAGTTCTTGCACCAGGGTCTACCATTTTAGGCTCACCGATTACATCTCCTATGACATCTCTAAGTCCAGTGGTCGTTCCTTTCATGCTTAAAATTCTTATACGACCTTTGGAGGATACGATGAAGATGGCGATTGAGGAGGTCGGTGCCAGACGAGCTTCATTTGATTCTTTTAAGCCAATACTCATGCACTTTTTGAACGACATTCGATATGTGGATGACGCTCGCTGGTTTCAGCACTATTCAGAGAATGTCTCTCAATTGGAAAAGAATCTGAGGGCTTTAGAGGAGTTGCGTGGTGCTGATCTTGCTGCCCAAATCACATTAACCTTCGATGATCTCAGGGCTGAAGCGATTCGTCAACATGAAGCTCTTCAAAAGAGTATCACTGAAAAGGAACTTGAGATCGCGTCCTTACAGGGGCAATGCATTCAAAAGCAACAAGCTGTAGTTGCTTCTAATACTGCCATACAAACGTCTCGTGTAGAAATTGATCGACTCAAGGTGGAGTTGGCTCGACACGAGGCTGAGCTCGCGCGGGAAGAAGAGATCTTAAAAAGGCTCACACTAGAAAGTGTGAAGACCTACGCCAACTATCGTTCGTCAATCCAGGACCTTGAACTTATCCAAAAGGAAGCTATTGTGATGATGCCGGATAAGAACGAACTTAAGAAGAGAGCTGAGGTACTGGTACAAGCCACTCATGAGGAGAAACTATCCGTTATTAAGTCCCGGCTCGCGTATTTCGATTTTACTGGCCCAGAGGCTTAATTATGTATTGTCCTTTTTGTTTGATAAGAATGAGGTTTTTGTATCACTTCTTAATATTTCTTGGATTCTTTGCCCCCTAAGACAAAATTTCCGACTCTGCCCTTATTTACATCCCAAACTCATAGCGTGTTTGGCAAACTCTTAAAATTAGGCCACTTTTGGGTTTGCTTTTGATTTGCAAAATCAGGGTCAAAATTGGCCTAGTTTTGTTAGGCAAAAAACGGGGAACAAAACGAGTTTAGTGTTGGGCCAGAGGGGTGGTGGTCCAACACTAAACTGGTCTAGAATAAAACTGGGCCAATCATGAACTCGACCCAATTTTTTAGTGATTGCCAAACACACCCTATGGGTCTGTTTGTTTGCATGGAAGTAACTTGAAGTAGCTGAGCTAAAGTAAAGAGAGTAGAAGTTTCTTTTGTTACTTCCGATAAAAAAAAAGCGTGTTTGTTTCTCTTGATATGCTACTTCTAGTATTTCCTTAAATGATGATGTGGCGCTTATGTGACACCCTTACTTCATAAATCTTTTTCCATTTGTGAAAAATTCAGAAGTACCTAGAAGCAACTAAAATCTACATCAATTTAGGAACAAAATCTGGTTTTTTATTATATGGAAAATTTTCACTCAGCATAAACTTGAAAAGACCCTCTTCCTCTCTTCTTACTTTTGAAATTTTTGTGAAATAAAAAAAATAAATAAATAATGAAAGTATTGCTTCCTACTTCATCATTCTGAAAGTTTCTTCTTTAATTTATACTTACTTCTTCCACTTTTATCAACCAAACACGCCCTCTGAGTACGCTTACTTAACTCGTCAACTAAGAGCATCTCCAATAGTTTCTCCAAAAATTTCTCCAAAATGGGGAAGCAAAAGTCATATTCTCCAAATTATTTTTGCTCCAACTCCAACAGCTTCCCCATTTTGAAGAATCCTGCATTTATTACAATAATAAAAATATTCTACATCCCTATTTTGGGATGCTCTTTATGCATTGGAACTTCCCCTATGGTTTTTTTTGTAATTACGGATTTTATTTTATATTTATTTTCTCCTCCAACCCGTTTTAAAAAAACGTGCTGCATTTATGACAAAGCTCTCCCCAAATATTTGAAGAATGCCCCAGATTTGGGGAAGACTCCCCTTTTTTTCTCCTCCATCCCTATTTTGGAGAATGGGATGAGGAATCTGTTGAACCTAAAAAAAAGCTTAAAATTCTCCAAAAGTGAGAATACCAATAAAATGGGGAAACTGTTGGAGATGCTCTAACAACACCTTCATCTCTGCAATGATCATAATTTGAGGGGCGTGTATCGAAATATTAAAGAGTGGAGGGGCTAACACGAGAAAGGACCCTATTTTCCAAAATCCCAATATTATACTCTGCCGGCTACTACACGCCGGTCCAATCACGCACCGGTAACCTCACCGTACCCACCTGCACCCCCTCTCTCGCTCGCCCCATTTCAAAACCGAGCCCAGAATCCCCTCCCTCTGCGGGCCCCCACCAAACGCCCAAAGCAAATTGAAACCAGAAGCGACATCAAAATCGCAAAGAAAAGGACCCAAAAGAAAACCCCAAGATCTAGAGAGAGAGAGAGAGAGAGAGAGCAGCAAAGAGTAACCAACAAGGGATCGGCCATGGCGACGGAGAGAGAGAAGGAGAGGGAGGCCGAGCTCGAGAGCGCCATGTACACCAACTGCCTCCTCCTAGGGTTAGATCCGGCGATCCTCGGCAACGGAGCAAACGGCACCGCTAGGGTCGGCCATTTCCGGCACTCAAACCCTAAAATGGGCGAGCAGCTGCTCTACTTCCTTTTGTCCGCCCTCCGAGGCCCAGTGCAATCCGCCAAGGCGAGTATTTGTTACTGTTTACCTCTGATTCTGATTGAATTGGCTTCTGATTGTCTGCTGTTGTTTGATTTTCGTAGGATTTTGATAAGGTGTGGCCGATATTCGATTCAGCGCAATCGAGGGATTTTCGGAAGGTGAGGGTTTTGGCTTGTGATTGTTTTTTGGGGGAAATGTGGGGTATTTTGTGACTTTTTTTTTGGGTTGGAAGATTGTGCAAGGTATTATAAGTGAGCTGGAGTCGCAAGGGGCGCTGCCGAGGAGTAATTCTAGGGTTTCTTCTCTTGCTACCTGTTGCGGGACGAGGTTAGAAGTTTAGTTAATTCGATTCAGTTTCCAATTTTGCCATCTGAAATCTGGCAATTTAGTTCTTTTTTAATCCATAAGTGGGATGCTTAAACATGTCAATGAAGTAGTGAGCTCATCTCTTGTCTGTGGATGGACTGAAAATGGGAAATTTGTTTTCAACACCTTTTCCTTGTAGAAGGGTGTAGCCTGTGGATAATAACTCTGCTTCAGAAAGATTTATTGAAATTTACCCAAATGTTTATGACTAATTATGGAGAATGTGTGGTGCGAAATCCTGTTAAAGGCAATATGCTTGAGTGAAGTTTTAGATGAAATTTAGAACCAGCAGTTTTGCCTTCCAGTTACATAGTTATATGTGTGATCATGTCAAATTGTCATTATCCAAAATAGAAGTGATTTTATGAGACAATTTTCATCAACCTTAAATCATAGTGACGACCGATTTGCAGTATTTGATAATGTTTATTAGAACAAGGGAGCTTGTTACTTGTTAGTGATGAGCTTGACATGCTATGTAAATCCAAGTATTTTCCCGCATGTTGACAGTAGCTTATCGATGATGTCCACATGCTATAAAAATCTGTAGTTTTGTTTACACTGTCAGACTATATAAAATTTCATATTTGTGATTTTGTGTTAATCATAGATCAATGAGGAAGCTATTACAGCAATCAAGTTGGGGATTCTAATAAATTGCCCTAGAATTTGATAAATCCGAATAGTTTATTGCGCTTTTACTGTGCAGTATCACTTAAAATTTTCTAAAACTTCTGGAAACAATTTGTGTTGGGAAACATGATTCCAACTTTTTTTGGTTTTCTCAACCACAACTAGTCTAGTTATCCCGTTGTTCTGGTAGTATATGTTGATGGCTTACAGGCAGCAATACGGCAATAACATGGAAGTTCCCTGTATTTCTTTTTTAATTCTGAAGCATATCATGCCCAATAGTTTTCTCCTTCCACCCTAAGTGAAATCTGAGCTTTTTTCCTGCTTTTGATTATAATCTTTAGTAAAAACAGGAACTTTCTCTCTACGTCACAGGCAGAGCCCTTATGACCACTTTTGTTCTTCTAGTTATTCTGGCATCAAATTTTTCTTGGATTTATTCATACGTTTTGTTACTTAGTTGTCAGTATTAACATCAGAGCTTACTATACAATCTTTCTTCTTAGTTCATTTTTTTCACCAAGCTAAGGAGACAGCTCTACCTCGAGTAACATTATGCTTTCTAGAAATGCTTTTGATTCTAGTATTTTCCCCTTCCTTCAATATTCACTGCAAATGACCTTTCATATATCAGATACATCTTACACATCTATTCTTATGCTTTATTCAACAGGGTCGCGAACCTCGTGCTCCAAATTGTATCATCATGTTCTTTACCGTTCTTGTAGATCCAGCACGCACTCTTTTTGTGATGTTCCCCTATTTTTCTGTATTATGTAGTCCTCCATTTAGTTAAAATAAAGGGATTTATTCCTACTTCCTTAACTATATGCATTTTGAGTTCGAAAAGGTTGATAGTGCTTGAGTTTGTGTACATTCACAAGAAAACAACCAAAGCTATGACTAGTTAACTGTAAAACTTATTGCAGGCTTGCAGCTGATGTGTCATGCCCTTGTTAGAATGCGCATCTTTGTTTCTGTAGATTAGTGGATAGTGCGTGATGTCTTCGTTCTTCGTAAATGATCTGTTCGTTCATTTCCCTATTTTATGATCTAAACCTTGATTTTCATTATAAAATGTAGGTTATGTTGTCTTAAACTATAAAAGATGAGTTTCTTTACGTGTTCTTTTTTGTGTGTGTGGGATATGTACGGCTCAAGAAACATGTGATACACACACATATTGTTTATCAATAGAAAACATAATATATATGCTCTTTACTGGTACGATTGTAGTAGACAATTTCTAGAGCAGAATGGTGAGAAGCTGTGGGATCTGAAGGAATTTAATGAATGTTTTGTAAAGCTACGAGAAATAATAAGAATACGATTTTTGCTGCTTAGACTTAAGTGTTCTTCAAGTAGATGAAATCAAGGGAGATGATTGAATAAGTATAGTAGTGGAGCAATTAAAGTGGTTGTGACTCTGGAGTTTTTATGATCATAAATAGCTATGAATTTGTAGAAAAGTCTTAAAAAACAGGTACAAAATTGGCAATGTTTTATTAGCTATTATGTTGAGAAATTAAAAAAAAAAAACTTGTCCAATAATTTGTGTAGTAGAAATGAGAAAGTAAGATGGACGGATAAAATACTATTCGCTTTGTTTGGCTATGGGTCATCCCAACTCATCAAGTGCATACTTTATAAGTCCTTTGACTATTAAGGAAGGTAACAACTAACCGGGAGTAACTTTTTTTGGGTTTCGGGGGAGGGGTAAAAAACCCACCACGGAAATGGATTAATGATTTGGAGGAAAGGGAGGTTGCCCTTTGGTTGTTCAAGAATATCCCTTCTTATAGCTGTTAACTCCTTTCTCATCCTTTCCAATCTTAAGCATTTATGGTGGATACCGCTTGATGGGGGGTGCCCCAATTAAATGCATTTATGAGAAGCTAGAACTTTAGAATTAAACACAAGTATATTTATAATAAGCTAGAGCTTGAGAAGAAAAGAGTGAGGGAAAACTAATCAAGATGGTCTAGCAACCCAATAAGTGCCTTATTTAGTTATTTAGGAAAAGTAATAGGATTATAGTTCATTGAGAAATTACAACTAGCTGTAGATCTCAAGAGGCCATAAATAGTAGGAATAACGAAAATGGGCTTTTAGATACTAATTCCCTAACCAGATGTCTAATTTGAAATAGGTCTTTGCTCTCAATAGACGATATTATAAAATAGGTCCCCGAGTTAGTTTCAATTAGACCAAATAGGTTCCTCTAGTTAAAATATATTATTTTAACCTATAAATAACTAAGCTGCATGTTATCCCTCTTATGCTTTTAGCTATTGTTAGTGCTACTCTTGTTATTGTTGTCCGTTGCTCCTCTCCAGCATGCTACAATCGTAATAGTCTTTCACTATGTTGTGCACCCATGACCTTTATCGAATGGTTATAAATGCATCCAATCTTTTTCTTGTTATTCCTAGGTCCTTCATCTTCATCAATTCTCTTACGATCTATTTACTTTCTAGTTTGTGTGCACCTCCCCCACATCATCCTTGGTATGGCGACTGGATCCAAGATAGAATAAGAGATGAGTTATGAGGAGTTGAGACTGTGCTTGGGAGGAACAAAGAGAGAATTAACTCGGATAAGGTTTATTTTGGTGGATGTTTAACAGAAAACACGATCTATATGATGTAACTCAAACAAATTTGGGACTTATATTATAATATCATGTTTTTAGGACATTGCGTATCTTTTGGGGGCTAGTACCTTAACGCCTCCTTTGTTATGCGGGAACCTAATGAAGTAAGGATGGAATGAAACAAGGAATGGGATGGCATGAGTGTGAGAATGGAATGCTCATTTCCATTTTGACGTTTGGTGAGATTAGAGAATGAAGCGGGAATGCAAATCTTTTTATTTTTAGTATGAATAATTAATATGTAATTTGGAAATATTTGTTATGTATTTTAAAATTTTCATTCGCACTTAAGTGAGAATGCTCATTTCCTACCAACTCATTAGGAATGCTCATTCCCAAAAAATGTGGAAATGAAGGAGAAGTGGGAATGAGCATAATAGCTTCCAAAAGGATTGCGCGTTTGGTACACATGAAAGAGAAGTGAGAATGAGCAGCTCATTCCCACGTGCCAAATGAGGCCTAAAAGCCCCTAAGAAAAAGCTGATAGTATCGGCTGTTATGCTGACAGACTGGATAACCCTTATCAGGAATGAATAGAAGTAACCATTCTAAAAGTTTCGGATGAAGGGCCTTATTGTTGCTGCCGTCTTCGTGCACAGTGAGTATTGTTTGCCTTCAACTTCAATTTTCTTTGTTTCTCTTTTATGACTACTAAGTAGTCTTGTTTGATTTATTTTTCCGTAGATTGCAACAATTTCTTGTACTTCAGAAAATAATCTGTATTTGGCTTTCTGAATCTATGTCCTAGTCAGGTGTTGCACGCATCATGCCATATTTTTACATTTTGTTAAGCTCGTCATTAAAGTGTAAACTCATTTCAATGCAGGTTTGTTGAGCTTCTATGGCAACTTTCTGTGCATGCTTTACGAGAAGTTCACAGGCGGACCTTCGCTGCTGATGTAGCTTCAAACCCACTGCCTGCTTCCCTGACAGATGTTTCATATTTACATGCAGCTTCTCTACTTCCTGTAACTAAGGTATTCCGGATTTACTTTATCCTATTTTTACACATTGTTGATGCTTTCCTTTTTTTTCATACACTGTATCTCAACAGGCTAGGATTGCTCTTGAGAGGAGGAAGTTTTTAAAGAATGCAAATGCCGCTGTTCAACGGCAAACTGCCTGGTCAAACTTAGCTCATGAAATGACTGCAGAATTCCGTGGGCTTTGTGCTGAAGAGGTGGAAACTAACATCTATCTTTTCTGGTGATTTGTTTGGTTGATGCTGATACCTACGCTGTATTAATATCCATACGCGTTCCATTCTACTCTATTAATGTATCTAAAATGATGGCTTTTGTTTCTGCAATACGCCTACTGCTTGTTCAGGCCTATCTGCAGCAAGAATTAGAGAAGCTGCAGGACATTAGAAACAAGTCAAAGCTGGAAGTGGAACCTTGGGATGATCGTATATCTAGTTCTTCAGCTCAGAACTCGCATCTTGTGTCTAAGGCAACTCGACTTTGGGAGTCTTTACTAGCTCGCAAGAGTATGTACACAACTTATTTCAATCTTAATTATGTTTATTTCCTGTGGAGCTGTGATATATAGATGCTTATATATGCATCTTCTAATTGTCAAAGTTAAAGAAATTTGGATATATTGCCATCACAACAAGCATTTATGATGGATAGCATATTATGCTTATGTTGTGACTTGTGAATTAAGTGACACAGTCAAAATTTAGCATAACCAATCCTGCTAATGAAGAAGTTTGGTTGAACTTTTAGCACCTCGGAATTCAGCATAGAAAGAAAAAACTTGCAGTTTGAAGTTGAATCGATCACTAACTACTCTTTCAATTAAATAATCTAGAATAATAGCTTGGTTGTGAAAGGACTGTTCTTTTTAGCTTAATTTCAGAATTGTGCTGGGTTCGCATTTTTTGACTGAAGCATAATACATGTCAGACAACACAATGTAACTACTATAACTTTCTCTGGGAGATGATTAGGTAAAGATTGTTTCTTGAGGATTCCTTATCTATCTTGTTGCTTTTCTCTTGAAGAGTTTCTGATGTTCCCTAGAAGGGAAAGTATGTATATGGTCCTAATTTCTGCAAATTTTCTCTGTGATAAATGCATGTTCTTTGAAACAGGTTGATCAATGTAATCAACCAGTTTGTATGTGGACATACTTTCTTCTTCAATGTTAACCAGTTTGTATGGGAACATACCCTTCTTTGCTTCTAAATTTCTTTTCCTCCTAAGTCTCTTATGTATTCTGCATCAAATTCAGCATTTCATTGCTTAATTGTTGCACTTGTCACTTCAGGATATATGAATTATGTATTCTGCATCAAATTCAGCATTTCATTGCTTAATTGTTGCACTTGTCACTTCAGGATATATGAATTTTTTATGCATCATTTCCATTACTCTTTCATTGCTTAATTGTTGCACTTGTCACTTCAGGATATATGAATTTTTTATGCATCATTTCCATTACTCCTAAGCACTAAATACAATCTTTTAACTTCAGATTTATTAGCATTTATATCTGGCAAGTGATCTGTCATTAAATTCAAGTTCCATCGGCCCTTCCAAACTGAGAGTGGACCCTAAGCTTTTTGGAAGATGAAGGATGCTGAGTGGTGTCTTGCACTTTTCAGGAGTCCTAATTTAGTTCTTTATGCTGAGTGGATATATTGCCATCACAACAAGCATTTATGATGGATAGCATATTATGCTTATGTTGTGACTTGTGAATTAAGTGACACAGTCAAAATTTAGCATAACCAATCCTGCTAATGAAGAAGTTTGGTTGAACTTTTAGCACCTCAGAATTCAGCATAGAAAAAAAAACTTGCAGTTTGAAGTTGAATCGATCACTAACTACTCTTTCAATTAAATAATCTAGAATAATAGCTTGGTTGTGAAAGGACTGTTCCTTTTTAGCTTAATTTCAGAATTGTGCTGGGTTCACATTTTTTGACTGAAGCATAATACATGTCAGACAACAGTGATAATCCTGATTCCTGACTTTAGATGACTTTATTTTATCTGATGACATTTTATTCCAATGTAACTACTATAACTTTCTCTGGGAGATGATTAGGTAAAGATTGTTTCTTGAGGATTCCTTATCTATCTTGTTGCTTTTCTCTTGAAGAGTTTCTGATGTTCCCTAGAAGGGAAAGTATGTATATGGTCCCAATTTCTGCAAATTTTCTCTGTGATAAATGCATGTTCTTTGAAACAGGTTGATCAATGTAATCAACCAGTTTGTATGTGGACATACTTTCTTCTTCAATGTTAACCAGTTTGTATGTTAACCAGTTTGTATGTGAACATACTCTTCTTTGCTTCTAAATTTCTTTTCCTCCTAAGTCTCTTCTGTATTCTGCATCAAATTCAGCATTTCATTGCTTAATTGTTGCACTTGTCACTTCAGGATATATGAATTTTTTATGCATCATTTCCATTACTCTTAAGCACTAAATACAATCTTTTAACTTCAGATTTATTAGCATTTATATCTGGCAAGTGATCTGTCATTAAATTCAAGTTCCATCCGCCCTTCCAAACTGAGAGTGCACCCTAAGCTTTTTGGAAGATAAAGGATGCTGAGTGGTGTCTTGCACTTTTCAGGAGTCCTAATTTAGTTCTTTATGGGATACAACCCCCTAATGTAACTGAGTTGGACTACGGTTCATTGACTATTTGCATAGAGCTAAAATTATCATCTGACAGTTTTTGTTTAAGTCTAACCATAAACAGCATATGATTAATTTCTGACCTGAAACAACGGAGACCATCCATCTTTGTGGTGTAGGCCATGGTAGACTGACTCAGTTAGTGTACCTTGGGTATGGGAGCCAGGGAATCTACTTTTTCATTCAGGAAATTTACCTGAAAGTGGTCTCATGATGGTTGTGGATGTTCAAAGTATGAGTTTTGGTATTGCTGTTAAATCACATATAACGGTTGTATTACCAAGTGACTCATGAAAGGTTGCGGTTTTTCTTTTGACTATTTCATATTGATGAGTATATTTATCCGGATAAGAAAGTTCTTTGTTTTCAGTTGTCTTCAAAAGGTTTGTCTTTTAAATATGGATAGTCATTGAAGAAGCAAATTATTGAAGAAGCAAATTTGAGTATTTTGGTGTCCTTTCTGGATGAATGTGATGAAATATGGTCATTTAAGTTTTTCTACTCTAGGCTGACATTTTTGTGATAATATATGAATCTAGATAACATGAGAAACTAACGTCCAAGAGCATGTTGGATACATCATACTTAACAGGTACTGCATTGTCTCTAATCAATTACTTAGTGAGAGAAGAATGATGAGGGATTTAAATAACTGATGTTACTTTGTCCTTTTTGGTTACACAGGTTTATCTTTATTATTATCATTTTTCCTGCTCAACTGATTATCAATGTTGACCAAGAAGCTAAAATCAGGAGAGGGATATAGCAAGCTATATGTCAATATACTAATGTTATATCAGTTACTAGTCTGAATTTACATGAGTTATACTTGTCAGATCCTAGACCTTGATACCTAATGCACTTCATTTTCAGGTCAACATGAAGTTCTTGCATCTGGCCCCATTGAGGACTTGATAGCCCATCGAGAGCATAGGTTCTGGAGATTTCTTGAGAAGTGATGTGTTTGTTTTCATCTTCTGTTTGGCATTTTCTCATGCTTCTTTCTCAACAGGTACCGCATCTCAGGAACATCTTTGCTTGCTGCGATGGATTTAAGTTCACATGTTCCTTATTCAGATGTACTATCTGTTCGGACTGGTGAAATATCTCCACCAATAGATAGTCGTGAACCAGTAGATCCTCTTCAACCTCAAGGGAGTCATGATGCTCTTCCTAGAACAGAAGATAGAAGTGGAAGAGTTCACCCCACTGTTGATGTAGCTGAAGTTCTTAGACGTTGGACTCATGCATTACAGCGTATCCACAAACAATCACTTCATCTGGTATGCATTTTCTGTTTCTTTTATGAATATAATATGACGTTTTATATTACTTGCTGTTCCAATTATTACTTATAAATATACTAAAAATAATTTTCAGTGTAACTTTTCGTTATCAATTAAACTTTGAAGAACATTGCTTTCACAATATTCAACTATGAGGTCATAGATTCTGAATACATTCATTCACATGTTGGTAGCCCTTTTGGAAGAGGCACCATAAGGCTACCATACTCAAAATTTCGTAAACATAATAGTAGAGATACGTCGTGATCTTGATCACTTTTTTAATGGTGATGTTTTCATTGATTCGTTTGCATTACCTTTGGTAGCATACTTGATTCATGTTTATAAGGTGAAAGATGCACAATAACAAAGCATTTATCCCAAAACTCTGGGGTTTACTTCATGTATCCATTTTCTCCGTTGAGCTTTGTAAGGCCATTTCTTTTTTACACTAACAATTGGTATCTCTCTTTTTACTACCTTGGTCCATCTTCATTTAGGTTTACCACTAGGCTTTGTTGTTTGATCAATTTCATCCACTTACTCTTAACCGGCACTTCTATGGTCTCTACCGCATATCTCCAACCTCTCCGAGTTGAGTCGCTCTTACTTCTATCCTCAATTAAATCAATTCCTAACTTCTTCTAAATGCATTTGCACTCATCAAAAAAAAAAAAGAAAAAAAAAAGAAAGAAAAGAAAAAAAAAGAAAAAAAAAGATCAGTACTCGTGACACTATACAACATTCTCATTTTCGTTGTTCTTGCTTTTTTGAACATGTTCCTTATCTGTCCATTTCTCTGATGCATAAGACATGTCCGGTTATATAGCTGTCTTTTAATCTTTTTTCTCTTCAATTTTATGGGCTTGACAATTACACAAGGCCTGAGTTTTATTTTAACTGTCCCAATTTTACTTCTGTGAGTTGCCATCCTCTTCTTGTAGTCATTACATTCTTGGTTTTAAGCAATGGGAATGATCACACCTTGATATTCCTTGGCCAGATTAGGTTAATTTCTTCTAAGTTTTGATGAACTTATATTTTATATAATTTTCTTTCATCCTATTGATTCCAAGCCCTTTAGGTTCTACAATTTATCTCTTCTATCTGCTAATTATCTCTTCTCTAACTGTGTCTTGAACATCGATGTTTCTCATCAATGACTAACACAAAGAGGCTGGGACTTTACGTAGATTATTTGTACTGGTCTATGGTGATAAGGGATGGTTTTGTCTCTCATCAATTATTCTCATCCTACTTCTAAATCTTAGATATCCCATAAATACAATTACTGTGTGCTTGTTTTTTTCCTAAGACCTTCCACATATCTCCTTATAAACTTATTTAGATCAGCCCAAAAAAATTTATGATGTATGTTGTAAAGAAGTTTATAAATCTCGGATGTATTTTCAAGATACGATTATATCGAAGTTTTTGTAAAGAAGTTAATAAATCTCTGACGTATTTTCAAGATAGGATTATCAACAAGGATATAATCTCTCATCAATGATCCCCAAAACATACATCCTAGTTTTCTACACCATAGATTGAAAGAAGTTTATAGATGTCTTTTGTCTCTGTGGAAGCCCAAAAAATATGTCATATATATTCTTATTTCAGTTACCTCTTCTCCTTATAAATGTCTGTTCTGTATCTCTTCAGTTATTGTTTTACAAATCCATACTCGACCTTCCTCTTGATCAAATTTATTTCCGGTTATGATTGAGCCTTTTCTTTAAGCCTTCCCGGAATTGCTTTTCCTGAAAGTTCTGGTATTGGACTTGTAACTTAGTTTACATGACTTTGCACAACTGTATATTTCCTTCATTTTAAAATGTTACCTATGCTTATTTCAAAAATGTTACCAATGCACCTCCTTTTATTAAGTATTTTCAAGCTTTCTGATTACAGTACTTGTCTTCTCCCAAGTGCTTCCAAATTTCAATAGATATCAATATTCAAGAAAGCATTATGTGGGACCATTGATTGAGTGTGCTGCATGGTTTGACTCCTGAAAAAATAATCCAGAAAAAGGGAAAACAGGTAGCGGCCTAGCAGGAAGGTGGAAGAAGAGAACAGAAAGTAGAAGAAAGAGACGAGGAAAAGGATAGTAAGGGGAAAAATTCAGAGCTTAATTGACTTTACCTACTATAATAATATGCAAGCCCAACTTAATTTCTTGATTCCTCTCTTTTCTTTTAAATTCTCGTGGAAGTTGATCCAAAAAAGTATAATATAAATTTAAGAAGCACTTGTACGTCGTTAAACCAAGTTATGGATCATATTAAGTTCTAGCTAACCCGCTGTATTAATTAATGTGTTTATAAAAGAACATATACATCTTAAATTTTTTAGTGGGCCCTATTTGTATAAATTACATATGATTCTTTGTATTTCATCGATGAGAATTCTTTTGATTTCACCCATGTTCCTTTGCTGAGAATCCTTAGGATTACAATCCAAAAGTGTTTTCTGGGTTCCACATTAATATTAACTAAATTGTTTTATTTGTTCTGTTATTGAGAAACCATTACTTTCATGACCATCGGACCATGAAGTTCTTTTTTATATTTATAGTAATGGTAGGCAATAATCTCCCATTTTCCATTGATAAGAATTTAACAAAACATAGAGCCACAAAATGAACCACTTCTCACAAATGCAGAAACCACACAAATGCCACAATGGCAAAATACTGATAGTGAAGCTTGGTAGAAGAGATAGCTAGACAATTTTTTGTTATTGTTGTTTGTTTACATATTAATTCTGGATAATTATGAATTTTGCTATTATAGGCCAAGGCTAACGATGGAGAGGGCCCAGAACTATTACGCTGCGCATCTGATGGTTCTACTAGTGGACATGCTGAGTCCCTGGAAGCAACTCTAGCTGAACATCGGCAACATCTAGCTAGTATACAAGTAAGTGGATCCTCATTTGCAGCTGTCTTGTCCCAAAACTAATCCACTAGAGCCTGTAATGCAAAGGGTAAAAAATGACCGAAAAGTTAGTTCGGGTGTCTGTATAAAACAGCTAGGCAATCATACCTTGTTTTCTAATATTTCTCTGTGGATAAATTTTGGTGGCCTCATCGTGCAATGCCTCATGATTTAAGCAATTCTAGTTTTAGTGCAGTGGCTCATAACTGCAGTAGGTAATACTTTATTACTCGGTCCACCAAGATTGTTTTAAAAATGTGATAGAAAATGGTATTGATTAGAATTTTATTCAAGAGGGTGTACCAGGTTAAAGAGACTTCTATATGAACAAGAGTTTGTTGCTAATGCTCATTTGTGAAAATAATGCATAAAACTGGAAGTGGAAGAAGGGATACCATCTTTATGAGATGCAATCTGGAAAATGTCTGAGATTAAAAAATAAATAAATCTTTATTGAGAGTGTAAGAGACAAAAGGAACAACTTTGATTCATATACTAGGAAGGAAATTATCTTGAAATTTTTGCCTTTTAAGTTTTAGGTTTATGCCATACCTTAGAGATGGAAGCAATTTTCTGCATTGTTTTTACTTCTTCTAGTTACTGAGGGTAGAAAATTTTTAGTGACCCTACTTCATTATATAGGCTATAAAAACATCATAACTAGTAAGTCATAGAAGGAGAGGAATGAGAGTTGTAACATGTCGTGCTAGAACATGGTTGTTAAAAGATTGATGATTTCCATTTTTATTTTGACGGGATATAGGGGCTTATCAACCAACTTAAAGAGGCAGTTCCAGTGATGCAGAAGTCAATCGCAGATCTAACAGAAGAAGTCAACAGCATATCTCCTTGTACTATTGATGAATACAGTGCAAGATCGAGCTCACCTGTCCAGGCACAGAGTAGCGGAAGATCTCTCGTAAGATCTCTCCAAGCAAGTTGTGCCATTAGCTTATGATAGTTGTAGTGGCTTTTTCCTCTTCAGTTTTCTCCTTTATTTTTGCTCCTAGTTTTCTGCAGATTTTACATTTTTATTTAGCAATTCATTTTTCTGAACAGGAAAGTAGTAATGATGAAGTCAACGAGATGATTTCTAAACTAAATTCCATTCAACTTGAGAAGGGTACAAGTAGTCCTGCTCTTAAACTCCCTCATTTGTTTAGCTTAACACCAAATTCATCAGGAAAAAGTATGCACACACCAAAACGGCAATCTATATCTACTCAATCCATACGGTCAGAAAGTTTGGCAGTCGGGAAACCGGTTGATCCTCCATTTACAAATGATCACAGTACATCACAAGGTTGGTCATTCTGGATACTTGTGAAAATAAACTAAGTTCCTTTGCAGATTCTGTTTAATAACACCAATCCGCAACAAGCATAAACTTTGAGAAGCTTACTCTGGACTCTTTAACCTTTTCCTTCAACTTGCACAGATAGTGATAGTTATTTTGTCCAAAACCTAAGGCGTTCAGTTCGTGAAGCTGCTCTGTTGAAGCCAGTGAACAACACAGAGTCGTCAGAAGACAAAAGCAGTGATGACGGATCTGAGCACTTTTTTATGCCCCTAGCCACAGGGGTAACTAGGAAGGAAGTTGATGCAGCTCCAAACCAGAGGAAGCAACGACTGTTTGCTTCTCCACAACAAAACCGTGTCAGCAAGACCACTAAGCTGCAGCCTTCGAATCTCGAGAGCCCATTAAATTTTGTTTCTGATGTATCAAATGATTCCAATGGGTATGAAAACCAGGGGAATGGATTTCCGACAGACTCTGTCTTGGGTTTTTCAGGCTCTACTCCACAGAGTACATTTCCTGGCTTCAATGAATCTACGGATCAAGTTTTCTCGCCTCCCTTGCTAATGGACTCGTCATTCTTCCCAGATGCATATGAGGACTTGCTTGGTATGTTGAACTTTTATGCCCTTATTTTCTATAATTGTTGATGTACATCACACCTGATCACCATTATATTGCGGATATGCTAATTTGCTAAGTTATTCCAACAACTTAACTGGGCTTCTGTATCTGTCAGATACTTTTTGCACCCGTACCCAGCTACGACACTCCTCAAGTATATGCGTGCATATATTTGGACGTGTACTCAATTATATAATGTATGTTTTAATTTAAAACACTCGTCATAAACTTCTTGGACGTATATCTTACACTCCACAACCACTTTGTGCAACTTGCTGGACTCGGGTTGGGTGTTTCAGGCTTTCAGCTCATACCCTGTTTAGAAGCATGGTTTTAAAAGGTTCTTTGGGTATCTAGTTCAAAAACAAACGCTGTGCGAATTTATAATCTATTTAATAAAAGAATGTTAAAACAATAGGAATTTTAGTTATTATAACGTGTGAATGAAAAATAATAATATAGATCTCATGTAAATTACAATTTCAATATGTATATATATAGTGTTGTCCTCCCGTACCCTAGCTTTTACAAATTTGTCATGGACCCAAATCCGTGCAACATAGCTGATATGTTACGTACTTCTGAACAAGTACTTGTCAAATTACGGCTTCCTGACTGCTCAGTGTTTTGTTGCAGCACCATTATCAGACACTGATGCTGCTTTAATGGAAAAATGAGTAGAATTAGGAGGTTCAGTTCAGGCTCTTAAGGCTCGAGGAGAGCACCTTGAGATTACGATTTTTCCTCTGACAGGGAGATGACAATGTGTTTGTACCTATATGTATCGGTCACAGAGACACACTGATGCTTGAGTTGGAGGGGCTCACGGGTTTGCCTGTGGAGGCGGCTTGGGATCGTGCAGATTGTTAATTGAGATTGGGTTCTGTGTGTATTGGTGATCCCCGTTTTTGTATTTTATTGACAACAGTTGTAATTGTATTGTGATAATCCATTCTCTCTTGTTCAGATGTCATTTTTTTTTTCTTGTTTTTACATGTTAAGTGTTACAAGGACGGTAAATCCTGTATATTGTGGTTATGGAGACGTATTTGTACACGTTGTTGTATAGAGGCCTGGAGTTGCATTCCAAGGATAGATCCCGTCAGGTGTTGATTCTTATCTACAAGGATCCTGATCGTGGCAATATCAGCATCTGAATTTTTCAAGCGAGATTTTTATTTTTAATTGTTAATTTTGCCCCGCTGTTTGGGTGTAAACACTTGAATCATAAACTTGATGCCCCGGACACCAAGCGGACGTGGAGGTCATGAACATAAACTTGCTTGTCACATTATCCATCTTTGACTCGCACGCTTGCTTATTTCTGAAATGTCCACTTCAAGTATTTAATAAGAGAATTGATGCCTGCGTTCTTGAGCACAAAATACTTGTTACCGATACACATCGCAGGGAAGCGAGGCTTCCATGTGTCTGGTTTCGATTCATTCCCCGAGAGCTGCTGCGTTAGATTCTGCCACTTCAGGAACAAACTGAGTTCTATTATTTATGTCGTCAATTTTAACTTCAAACTGAAAAAAAGTCATCATAAGATGTGATGATGTCCACAGCTAATGATGCTGCGGAGAAACAGAGAGATGGGGAGTGAGCTGCTCCACGTGTAAGCCCTTTTTTGTGTTGGGAAAAGAGTTGCTAGCGGTTGGGGGCAATTAAAGGACTCGGTAGCTGAGCTTCTTTTATCCCATTTCTGATGGTAAGAGCATCTCCAACAGTTTCTCCAAAATTTTCTTCAAAATGGAGAAACAAAAGTCATATTCTCTAAATTATTTTTGCTCTAACTCCAACAGGTTCCCCATTTTGAAAAATCGTATTTATTACAATAATAAAGCTCTCCCCAAAAATTTGGAGAATGCTGCAGATTTGAGGAAGACTCTCTATTTTTTCTCCTTCTTCCCTATTTTGGGGAATGGGATGGGGAATCTGTTGGACCAGAAAAAAGCTCTATATTCCCCAAAATTGAGTATTTCAAGAAGATGGGGAAGCTGTTGGAGATGCTCTAACAAATCTGCTTCGATAACGGCAGCTCAGCGGTATAAAAACCGAGCAGAAAAAAATAAAAATAAATAAATTTGCTATTTACTCTCTCAAGTATAAATCTCTCCTTCGCATGTAGAACAAAGATCTTTTTTATTCATTATAACCGATGGATGGATGGAATTTTAGATCAATCGACGAGACTTTCTTTGGTCTACAACTCTCAACAACTCGCGTTCTGTAGGTCGCCCAGCTCCTACGATCCAATTTTGAATCAACAAACTAAACAATTTTTTCAGTAGGTTATACATTCTCCTCCATTCAGCACTCGTACGAATGGCCCACTTGTGGGTGAGGATTGAAACATTAACACAAAACAAATCTATTCCCATGTGCGGGAGGAATATCCCTTTACTTAGGACTCCTGCATAGTATTTTTCCACTCATTGATTGGATCCACAATGAATAATGTCACATGAAATATGGAATGTCAGTGCTTGGAAGCAAAGATAGCTAGAATCATACCCTGCCCATGATTACTCCTTTCAGTGAAGAAACCACAGAGAAATAAAATCTGAATTTCGAAAAAAAAACCCTCAACCTTTGGGTGTTTTGCATGAAACTTTCTATAAACTTTATAGATTATAGACACTACTTCCGAACTTTCAAAACTGTATAAAACTATGAATGGATGTTGAAAATTGGAATAGAAGTATAAAAGATCTAAGACATCCTTTTTTTTTAAAAAAAAAGAGAAGAAAAGGTGTCCTTAGAAAAATAAGAGAAGAAAAGTATAACATAGACTATACTATATGTCACCATTATTTAAATAAAGCCATCATTTTTTGATCATGTAAGTTTCATTTTCAAAATTTCAAAAATGTCCTTACATCTTGGAAAAAAAACTACGAAAATTCCTTCTACTAAGTCAAATAATGGAAATGCCATAAAACTCAAAAGAGTTAACGAAAGTGCTCTCTCTCTCTCTCTCATTTGAAAACTTAACGAAAAATACTCGTCCTTTATAAATCAACATAAATTTTCTTATAATTAAAAAAATCTATAAAAACAATCTAACAGAATATCAGTTTTATTGACAATCAGAATATAATGCTCTCACACTCTATGCCATGCATGCATCACACATGGTAGAAAACTAGTATGTTAAGTAAATAAACAAAATTTTCCAAATTATGTCACATGTGAAGCACATGACCACTTAATTAATTGTCAACTATAATGAAATTCTGTAATAAAAAAAGATTATCTGATCTGTAAATTTCAGAAATATATTATACAAAACACCCTAAAGTTCAGGATAGATTTGTGAAATTTAAAACAAAAATAAAAGAAGGAAAAGAGGGAAGAATAATTTTTTGAGGGGTTGGAAGGCAAGGGAGGCAGTTTTGTCATTTCATCTTCAGGGTGAGGAGACAAAGCCAACTTTCAAACAGAGTGCTAGAAGTTGAATTCCAAGAAAGTAAAAAAAAAAGAAAGATTGGACATTTTCCACATGCCAGTTGCCAATATCTGGATTCTACCCATTTAATAAACAAATATCAATTAAAGACCATTACAAAATTAAATGAAAAAAAAATCAATCAAAGGCATAAATAAATAAAAACCTTGAACCATTATTGATTATTTACTTTGCATAAATAATAAGATAGATTGCGGTGAGGCTCTTTCTTTTGTTTCCAAAGAGACCCTCTCTCTTGCTCTCTCTCTCTCTCTCTCTCTTCTTCTTCTCACTCATCACCATCGAAGAAGCAGCGGAAGCTCGTAGAAAGAGAAAGAGGGTAAGCTTTTCATTCCTCTTCTAAACGTTGCTGTTGATAAAAATCCCACCTTTTTGAATATTGTGTGCTGGTTTTATTTTTCTCCTGTTGACTTTTTGTATTTTATTTATGATGTGGGTACTTTTTTTTCCCGTCAGTTTGTTCTTACGATGTAAACTTGTTTCTTTCTAGATCAGACCCACTCCAATTTGGGTCTTTGATTTGGAGGAGAGAGGGGTTTTGATTTCTAAGAGAAAGGAGGCTCTTTTTCTGGGAGTGGACTGATTATTTCAGTAATTTCTTGATATTTTCCCTCTGCAAGGGGTTTATTCATCTCAAAATTACTCTTGTAGATGCGGGTTTTTGTCCAAATTGTCACTGGTTGTGTTGACTAGAGCATGGAAGAAGATCTCTTGATACTCGGAGGAAATTGCTGAAGAAAATTTTCTGGGTTCGATATATAAGGTATTTGTTTTCAGAAGTGTTGTGATGGATTGTAGCTGATTCAGCAATTGCATACCTAAATTTGAGATTTTTTTTTTCTTTCTTCGAAGCTTTGGTATTTGAAAACATTGTAGACTTTTTGCTTAAAATGATTAAACAAATACTGGGCAAGCTTCCACGAAAGCAATCAAAGTCAGGGGATTCAATTGGTGGTGCATCTGTTCTTCCGTCGAATTCTTCTGCTAATTCAAGAAGTGGGGAATGGTCACTTAATAGACCTTCGAATCTTAACGGTTTGGCTCCTGGTTCTAATTATGTACAACATCATGGTGGCAAATACTCTTCAGTTAACCCAAAAGCTAATGGAAGCTTGGTAACCCCTCCATACGAAGCGTTGCCTGCTTTCAGAGACGCGCCAAGCTCTGAGAAACAGAGTTTATTCATCAAAAAATTGAACTTATGTTGTGTTTGCTTTGATTTCACTGACCCAACAAAGAACTTAAAGGAGAAGGACATAAAGAGGCAAACATTGTTAGAGCTCGTCGATTATATCACTTCGGCGAGTGGAAAATTCACAGAAGTCGTTATGCAAGAAATCACGAAAATGGTATCCACTAATCTCTTTAGGACTTTTACATCTCCACCCCGTGAGAATAAAGCCTTGGAAGCCTTTGATTTGGAAGATGAGGAACCTTCAATGGATCCTGCTTGGTCACACTTGCAAGTTGTCTATGAGTTCTTCTTGAGGTTTGTTACATCACCCGAGACTGATGCCAAATTGGCTAAGAGATATGTAGACCATTACTTTGTTCTTCGGCTATTAGACCTCTTTGACTCCGAAGATCCACGAGAAAGAGAATACCTAAAGACAATACTTCACCGTATTTATGGTAAATTCATGGTGCATCGCCCGTTTGTAAGGAAATCCATTAACAATATTTTCTATCGGTTTATCTTCGAGACAGAAAAGCATAATGGGATTTCCGAGCTGTTGGAGATATTGGGAAGTATAATTAATGGGTTTGCTTTGCCACTTAAGGAAGAGCACAAATTGTTCCTTGTCCGAGCATTGATTCCTCTTCACAAGCCAAAGTGCATATCCATGTATCATCAACAATTATCTTATTGCATCACACAGTTTGTTGAGAAAGATTGTAAGCTTGCAGATACTGTTATAAGGGGGTTGCTGAAGTACTGGCCTATTACGAATAGTTCAAAGGAAGTGATGTTCTTAGGAGAGTTGGAGGAGGTTCTAGAGGCAACTCAGCCAGCAGAGTTCCAGCGATGCATGGTTCCACTTTTCCAGCAAATTGCTCGATGTATGAGCAGTTCTCACTTTCAGGTATCAACCTTCCAATCGTTTAGTCCCATATGGATGTAGACATACTATATATCACACTTGCTTCAATTATGTTACTTTCTATTGCATTCCTTTCTTGTTTGTAGTAAAATTAAAATTATTATTTTTGCATGGTTGTCAGTTTCTTATGAGCATTGACCTTCACTTTAGTTGCATGATCATTGTACTAGAAAATTGCTTAGAGGAATTAACTGATACAGCAGATTACAATTGCAAGAAGTGTAGATATCTTCTAACATCGCTGTCATATTAACATTGGGAGTCCTTTCCTTAAAAAAAGATCAACCCATTTGGTTGTCCTAGTTACTTTAAATGTGTATATTTTGTTGTCCTTTTGATGTATAAGGATGGAATGCATATCTTTCACAAAGCTTTGGAATTGGGTATTAATTGTAATTTGGTATACTTTTTGTGTATATCATTTTTGTTTAAATCAATCGGAGGTCAGATTCGGAGCAAACTCGAGAAGGCTTTATGGGAGGTTGGATTTTAACCGGCTGATTGTCATCAACCCTCACCTGGTCCCATATTAATTGTAATTATGCTAATTCACAGATAGGAAACCACACGTAATTGGATATGCAATTTAAGCTCATGCAACCTTAGAGCAAACTAATATTTCCAAGAAAAAAGGAAGATGATAAGATAAGCAAATACTGATTGCATCATCTGTTCCAGAAGGGATTGGTCTACCAAGTTAACTTGAAAGTTGTCTTGCGTTTCTCTGATGTTAATTTTATTTGAGCAATATCACAGACCTGTTAACTGATATTGTCCCATCGTTCAGAAAGATGCATCTCTTCTAGGAAAGGCATTATGATCATATAATTATCTTTTTTATTTGATAAACTAAACAACTTGTATCATGCAGAATAATATTGACGTTTGAACTTGCTTAAAGTTTTACTCATTTTTTTAATTTCAAGTGTAATTTCTGGTTTAGTTACAGTCATACATGTACTATTGTTTTTGCTTCATGCCTTACTCAACTTCAAGTGTAGTATCTTGTGTATTTAACTCCTGCAAAGTCAGTTAAATCCGACTCACTTCGCATAAATTATTTATTTACCCCTTTCCTCATTATAGCTTAGGAGACAGTGGCATGGAAAAAAGAGCATATAAATTAGTTCGTAGGTAATTAAGTTAATTGTTCAGAAAATGGATGGCTCTTTATTGCTATGGAACCTCATTTGAGGTGTGAAGCTGAACCATCAATCCTGTTTGTTTTCTTGCTAAATCCCACCGAATACCTTAACCATCTTCCTTCAGTGTCAAATACCGATCCAACTCGTGTGCCATTGTATAGACTCAATACTGTCACAGCTTAGTCTCAGCATCTCATCTGCATCCTCTATTTTACCAGGTTTGGAACAAGGTGCCTTACATTACTCCCGAAGTTATGTCATTATGAGACTCCAGTCATAAAAATCAAAATCTCACACCAAAAGTTACCAGGCCGTTCAAAACCACTATCTATTAGGTAGTCTTGATCATGAATTAAAGATTGGTAGTTTTTGATGATGAATGGTTGTTTGTTGATTGGAAGTTTAGATCTTTCCTTCTCTTACTTCCTTTTCTTGTACCCCAGCCTCAGCCTCTCTTTCGCCCTTACCCACTCCCAACAACCCACGCCCCCACCCCACTTCCCCCTGCCCCCCACAGAAAAAGGTGAGAAATCGTTTAAGAGATATAGATATTAAAAACAGATTTTTGAGAGACCATGTGAAGAAGAAAAAAAGAGCAATCACGTGGGTGGACTCCTACTTTTGTATTTGATAGCAACAAAAAGATTTGGCTCCTATAAACCGTGCTTCTACGGAATATCAGTCTTCTCCGAATTTAGCAAGCAGCAAAAGTTCCAAAAAAAAGCACTTGCTCTTTAAAGTAGTGAAAACATTCCTCCTATGCAACCCAATACATTCTTGACAAGAACATATAAAAATTTCATAATGAAGATATATGTCAGGGGAACAAGATGATGTGAAATGTAGACTTTCTCAAGTCAGACCTGGTGATAGCTTTGATAGATACTGTTTTGCTTTTGTGGGAACTTGAGCTTTGAGCGGATTATTGTTGAACGTTTCACGCATGCATACATATGCATAGATACATACATATATACATATGTACACACAGATATGCGCATGCATGCATGCACGCACGCACGCACACAGGGAGAGGGGTAAGACTTGGTAACTCATTTTGCTGAGGAAGCTACAAAGAGACAGATTAGTGCTGGGAATCACTGTGATAGTCACATTGAAGTATGTGGAACTCACCACTGCTATCGTTTGTTTTTGCTAAATGAGGTGGTAGTTCATACCCAGTGCCTTCCTTTGTATACACATGCTCACCCCAATTGTCGTCTTTGAATACATATTACAGATATTAAAGTTATTTAATGTTTTAACACATGTTGCAGTCAGCACTTAGTGCAAGCGGATGGAGCAAATCAACTTGCTGGTACTCCCAGTGTTTTATAGCTTTCACGAACCTTTAGACCCCAAACAATTTTTGCTGGCTTAATTACCATATCAGACATCTGTACATGTTATTTGCAAGAGTTGTGACCTTCTAGCTGTCTGCCTAATTTTGGAAATTATGTATCCGTATAGGCTAGCTCACTTTTCTTTTACAGTTGACCGTCTATCACGATTTTGTTTGCGACTGAACCAATTATGAATTTTATCTTCTTGCAATATTGGTTTTCCACTCTTCATTTCTAAATATTGCTGTGAGATTTTTTTTTTTCTGTATTACAGTGTATGGTATGCCTAGCTCTGTCCAGGCAAAGAGAATTTTTTGACTGTAGGATTAACCATGGACACTCTACCATTACTAAATTGCAACATGCAATTGAATAAGAGTTCCGTATAGCAGAATGCAAAGGTTTTTAAGTGGGTTTGTAACATGTCTGGTGGTAATTCAGTAAGCTTATGGATTCAGGCTTTAATAATGATTGTATTGCTAAGTAAAAGGCTATAGGATTCAGGGTGAAAGGCTAGATAGAAATTAATAAAAAGTAGAAAGGAAGATCCTAGAATAAGAATCGAGAAGACACCTTCTGTTCCAACATCTCATAACACTTGCACTTTATATTGTTTATTTATTATGCAAAATAAGGCTTACATATTGCTAGGATAAGTCCCAGATTTTCATAGCTTAATGCAAGAAGAATCACAATTCCATACCAACGAAAAGCTTTTGCAGTATCAAACAATAATCTTTGTTTTGCTAGGACCTTGCAACAATTCTAGTGCCGAAAATGAATTACTTAACTCTACTAATAGTGGTCAGAAGAATAAGAAGAACATTGATGATTCAAGATATTGCATAGAGCAATCCTTGCCAGTTTTGTCCCGTATAAGTTCACTTGAGGTTGTTTTTACTGTCTATTGAGTGAGTGGTATTATATAGTCCTGCTAGGGATGGTCAGGGAGGAACTCAAACTTTGTAGTGTAATTTTCTACCTATTGACATTGTGGATTGCTCGCACCGTCAAAATTCCTAGCAGTTCTTTTAACTTGTTATTCTAGATTTTCCCATATTCGTAGCATTCAATTTGAGCTGCTTAGAGTGAGTAAACTTTGTACAACGTTTGATGGTTTTGTAAAATTTGTGATGGTTTTGAGGTCTGATAACTTATGGTAACATCTGTACAATCTTTGATTTTAGGAGGGTGGGAAATGGAGAGGAGAATTTGGTTTAAGAACACGTCTAACGAAACCACAAAGTATATTACTTAATTATATTCACTAATTAGTATGAGATCCTTAAGTTTTCTCTAATTGAAGGGCTTTTACTTTTTCTAAGTTTTGAAAACTAATGTCGTCCTTAGCGATCCCAGTTTCAACACCAGGCTATGCCTTTGTTCAAAATAAGAAAAAACTACTTATACGTTGGATAATATTACAGTTTGGTATGTGTGGCCGAGGGATCTGATCAACCCTGGTACATGAGTCGCGTTTTGAACTTTCTAGGTTTTAGACACCTCATTATTCTAATGGTTCAGTTTATGAGGACAATAGTTTCGAATGGTTGGCAGAAATATATGTAGATTATAATAATCGACAGTTGTAAAATTATGACAAATGTGCTTATCACTTTCTTCCTTCATCATCGCAGGTAGCAGAAAGGGCATTGTTCTTGTGGAACAACGATCGCATAGACAGTTTGGTCAAACAAAATCGAAGGGTGATACTGCCCATAATCTTCCCTTCACTAGAAAGAAACACAAGGGGTCATTGGAACCAAGCTGTTCAAAGCCTAACACTCAATGTTCGCAAAATTTTCTCAGACGATGATCCTGAGCTATTCGAGGAGTGTCTAGAGAAGTTTCAAGATGACGAGTCAAAGAACAAGGAGTTTAGATCGCGACGTGAGAAAATATGGAAGCGTCTTGAAGAGATTGCAGCTATAAAGGCTGCCAGCAATGAGGCCGTTCTCATTGCTAATAAAAAATCATGATTAATAATGGTCTGAGAATATTGTACATGTTTACCGTACCGTAGGGGGATTTATGGGAGCATTGGCAAGATGAGGAGCCATTAGATGTTTATGGGAGAGAGAAATTTGGTTAGTTGTAGGCTTGTAGCGTTTTTGTTGTTGAGAGTTCCATATGTGAAGGTCTGAACTTGACCCCCTTACATAATATATCTGATGTTATTGAATATGAGTTGGTTGGATTGAGCATAAATAAGCTTGTGTACTCAAGTTGTTTGTTCTATCCACGAGGCTTGTTAAATTTAGGGGAAATTGCATTAAACCCCCAAGAACTTTTGGCATTTTGTGGTAAACCCCCAAAAACTTAAATCACGTTAAACCCTCAATAACTATTGGAATTGCAGCAACCCTGTCTTAAGTTTTCGTATTTTGCAGACGGCCCCCATTACGATGTGAGTCCACATTTTTCCGTTGGTGGCACATTTTAGATCTAAATGTAGATTAACGTCGTCATGGGAGTTATTATCTACAAAATGCAAAAAGTTATTGGAGGTTTTCTGCAATTTCAATAGTCATTGTGGGGTTTAGTGCGATTTTAGAAGTTTTTGGGGGTTTAATACAAAGCCTAAAAGTATTTGGTGGTTTAGTGTAATTTTCGTTTTGAAATTTATAACCCTTGCAGATTCTTTCTGAACTTTCTTCTTCACAAACAAACCTAAACTTGTTCTTTTGTATATCTTATTTTCCACTTCATTTTCATTGCAACTGTGCCTACATTTGTAACTTGCAGGCGACAGCTAGGTCCTATTTGAAACTACAAGTGTTCAGAGTGATCGATCAGAGATTGCAGGAATAGCAAAAGTATTTACAGAATCATGTTGTTCAAACTCCTACCATTTTTATAACATTACTCACCTTTATCATTCTTATCTAAACTCGCCGTAGTTAATATGCAAAATGACTCGATTGCATACAACTACAGTCACAAGATCACGAACATGTAGTTACAGAAATAGAAAAGGATTAACATGCGTTCGGGCTACAATCTTTAAGCTTTGTTAAGAAAAGAAGAATGTAAATATATTACATTACTAAACAGGTTTGCCCAGCTTTCAATGGTTCGAGGCGCAGGATAAGGTCGCCCTCAAACACTAACGAAAATTTCCACAACTCGTACAAAATTTTACAACACTAATAGACTGATTCCTGTTACTTAGAAAGCAAAAACGAGTTTAAATACCACATATGAATCAGAGTTTATGCTACATTACGCATCCTTTGGTAAATGTTCGGTTTTATAAATATTTAACCATGTACGGGCCTTCAAGTTCGTAACCCAGCTTTCTGTAGTAATGGCGAGTTCCCACGCCTGAGATAACAGCTAACTTTTTTGAACGGTGTTCCCTCCGGGCAATTCTCTCTGCCTCTTCCATTAGAAGTGTACCATAGCCCTGTATGATAATTAGAATCAAAATACAATCAAAATAAAGCAGTCTGAATCATATTATATCAGTTAACTACATAAGGATTTTTAAGCGCAGTCCTCTCAAGCCATGAAATGGATGGAGAAATATAACTTCAAAGGATTACGTTCCTGCTGGAGGAGCCGAAAAATCACTACACATTGCTTTGTACTCATAAGTTGTTCGTTTTTCAACCCATCTCAAATGTAATCAGAAAGATCAACAAGTCAGAAGGATTTAAAAGTTATATTTTATTTTTGGAAAAAAAAAATCTAATTCTTAAATGAGCTAATCCATTCATGTAGGAATAAGGATTATGGTAAAACCTAATCAATTTTTACATGGATGCCAATGGTTGAGATTCTTGAGGACCAGCACCCGTCATGTCTTGGATTTTCTACATAGCTGCCAAACTTCTAACAATACATACATCAATTAATTATGCATGTTAAGCTAATTTAATCAGGGTGCTATCAGGTTTAACTGGAAACTTTAGAGAGAGACCTGCGCACATTTTGACACAGGTAGAAGCAATGTCGACCAAATTGTAATCTTCATATGAAGATTATACTAAAGAAGCTTTAATTATACAAAACAAGATAGTTACTAGAGACAACTTGCTTTTAAACAGGTTTTGTCAGTTATATAACATGTATACCTGCCATTCATGTAGTTGGATTAACCATCTCTTTTAGGGATCTAATGCTAACTAAAAATTAGTTTTAAGTCCAGAAGCACACAAACACAAAGACATGCTTGGAAGTGCATATGTAATGTTACTCGTGCACTTGGGAAGTGTTGGGTCACAAGATTCCTAATTTCCTACTACCTCATGTGGGGGAAAAAAGGGTTCTGGTGAAGGAGATGATTATAATCCAACCATATAAATAAACTATCCAAAAAGCTGATGCTTCGTTCATTTGGGGGCACTATTTTCCCCCCCAAAGTTGATCATTTGGATGTAGTTTTTCAAATACACACGATTTAAGGAGTATACAGACTCCAAAAAAAAAATCAATACTGTGACTACAATGAGAAGAGGGGGGTGGGGGGGGGTGGGGGGGCGACTAATATCAATTGATGTGTTACAATGAACTTATTGAAGGTTACCTGGTGTTGCAGTTTGTCAGCATCACGCCCATGTACAGGGACAGCAGTGCCATAGACGTGAAGTTCCCGAACAATTGAGCACCTGCCCATTAATTCAGGGCAAGTCGTGTTGCGGCCACATTTACGCAAACGTAACAATCCCACCAGAATATCCTATCCAAAATACAAGGAAACTGGTCAATATCACATTGCAGACAACAATAATAACATATTAACATCAACAAACATAATTAGATCAAAAGTTAAAATAAACAAAATTTTCCAGCAAATAATATTAGTTATGCCAGTATAAAGAACACTGAACAGGAAAAAAACTGCCCAGCCTAATGATGTGCGTGCTCTTGACACAAATAAGAGTAAACTTCAATATTCAATTCATTATAACACATCAATTAATATTATTTCACCCTTCTATTGTTTTAAAAAAAATTCTTGCAGTGTAATTCCTGGTATCAATTTGTTAATCTCATTATTAATCCTTGCTCTTCTCGTCTAATCCATAGTGCAATAACCAATATTATCAAACTCATTTGTATGATAAATCAGTTTTATCACCTTCGAATGATAGTTAATCTATCTACGTAATGAGGAAAATTTTATAATATATCCCTTTTGGACTAGAGCCACTTGTAAAATGCTTCTATAACATGCGTCAAAGATTATCAAAGAATTTATCTAATCCAAATAGATTAGGACACTTGTTGAATGCTTCTATAACATATCTCAAATTTTATAATGTGTCTCAAAAATGCCAAAGACATACTACAGATGTATCAAGATCTTAATAAGTTCAAATATAATGTATCAACAAAAGGATCACAATTTCGTTTGATTTCTCAATGCAATTTACCTGGCGCGTGTCTTCATATGAGAGAAAGGTCTCCCAGCCCTCATTGGCTGCATAGTCACGCCGTATAAGCTCCACCTCTTCTGGCCTAATTTTATGGTGGATGTCCTGGGAAAAGAATCAGTTGGACAAAGTCAAAAGAAGAAGAAGAAGAAGAAAGAGAAAAGAAAAAAGGAAAAAAAAAGAGAAAATTCTGTCTCGAGAAAGAATAGGATGTTATTGACATCAGCTTACCTGGATTCCAGCTTCACGCGTTCTAACATCACGGCATTTTAAGCCTAAATCTTCCATCCGAGCCAAAGCGAGCTCTCGAAGATTTCCTTTCTCAACTCCTGAAGTAACTAGCGGCATTGGAATATCCCTTTGGACTCTATAAACTCGAGTCCATGGTGGTACCATGGATAGAATTCTAGCAATAATGTCCACCAGGAGTTCTGGTGGGTAATTCCTATACCTGCAGTAAAAAAATGTTATCTAATTAATTCTGTGAAGGAAGAAATCTCTTATGAATATACTTATCAAAACCATAAGGTCATATTTAACATGGACTTGATTAAATAGAATACCAAAATTAGCAAATGCATCAATTCAGCTCAGATCACAATAGATCAATAGCAACTTCTGATGCATATCTCCCTGAAAGGCAAGAAATGTGAATGGTCCCGAAGATTAACTTACCTGCCAGTTTTCCATAGCTCATAGAGACCAGTTCCACGAATGACAAGGGTTGGATAGATTTTAAGCCCATCTGCTCTAAAAGCTGGATTCTCAAAGAATTCTCGAAAACTTTCCATATCTCTTTCGATACCAACATTTGGAAGATCAGGCATCATGTGTGCAACAACCTAGTAGGCAAGTAGAGAATTTATAGAAATTCATATTAGAAAACTGCCTACTCAGCAGCTAATGTGATAACAGAATTTATCTGTAAAAGTTAACTACAATAAAAATATTTGAGTGTAGGACATGAGAAAGAGTTCCATGAAATAGTATGATCATTTGTCTTTGATAATTCCATGTTACATAAATTGCATTTTTGAACATTTATCTATAAAACTAAATTTGCCCATGTAAAGCCACAACTTACCATTTTCAACTTAATAACCAGGCAAATAACAAGAAAAAATTGGGAGTAAACTTTCAATTTCATGCATAAACAACAAAAGGGCGACAGTAGTTTAACCAACCATAATCATCTTTTTACTTCGCTGGTAATTATGTATACAAATGCAGAGAGGTAGAATGCTGAGAATTGGTCACCCATGTTGATCCTGTTGAGATAGATTTGATTTTAGCGCCAAGCAGCAGCAGCAACAACAACAATGGCGGCAGCAAGTGGCAGCAAGCAGTAGCGCAAGCAACAACGGCAGCAGCAAGGGGACAGCGTGCGGTAACTGCACACTGTTCCAGTCCAGAGTTGGGACAGTGTGCGGCCACCGCACGTCTGTGGTAGGTGCACACTGTCAGGCAGGTTTTTCCTGCTGCTATTGGGTTTCTATCCTTGTCTTTTTTTCCCCTTAGGGCCCAAGACTTCTACTCTATTTAAAGGGATATTATCTAAGATCTAGGATTTGAGAGAAAAATAGGGGTTGTGAGGAAAGGAGGCCATAAGGAAGAGATCAAAGGCCAAGCCATCAAGATCAAGAAGATGAAGAAGAAGAAGAAGAAAAAGAAGAGAACTATTGTAAGGAGTTACAAGAGGAAAGCTATATTCTTGTAAGGATTCACAAGAAGCCTGATGAACTACTCTTGTGAGAGATCGTTAAGTAGAAAGTGAGATTGCATCTTCTTCTTAATAAAGTATATCCCTTATCCCATGGATGTAGGCACATTGCCAAACCACATAAATCTTCTTGTGTTTTCTGTGATTGTTGTTTGTTTTCAAATATCTCGCCATAAAGTTAACTAGTTAAGGTTTTCCGTGAAACCCTAAAAAGTTAAAATTCTTTGTTCAGGATTTAAAGTTGGCAAGATCCCTTACAGATACTAAGTCGACAAACAAATCAGAAACTTATACAAAGATTTAAGAAATCCTATTTTCTGATACTAAACGACGAATGTTGCTCGGAATTATTTGACTAGGAAGAACATGAAAAGTACCAATATATAATCAGTCAGATGGCTAAAATTACTTTCCCGTGTCCCCCAGAAAGTCAGATCGCTAAAGAGGTCAGCAGAAATATTCCTAGAGCAGCAGAGAAGCAAAAGAAAGTTGCTACTGCGCCACTTCAGAAGTTGATTATATATGACTTTGAGTCATTGATAATTAAAAACTTATGAAATTAGAGACATATTTCATAATGAATGTAGACTCAACTTAATACCTTGAAACCAGCATCCTTCGCTAAGCAAAAACAATCAGCAACAGCAGCTACTGTATGACCTCTATTAGTGTCTCGAGCCACATCTTCATAGGTACTTTGTACTCCAATCTCCAGTCGTGTACAACCATAATATAGCATTTGACGTAAATGAGGCCCTAGACAGTAATCAGGCCTCCTGGGTAGTAAAGTGCAGCAGAATACAGTTTTAGCTATAACTATGGAAATGAACAACTTAGGTATGCATATTCAAATGGTCACTCACGTTTCTATTGTCATGCCAATACATTTGATGGTACCATGCTCTGAATAGCTGACAGCCTCTTCCACGTTTGCTGAGGTGTGTCCTGACAGAGCATCATGAAGATTTCTAATGAAATAATCACGATAGTCAGCAGGCAAAGACATGAAAGTGCCTCCCATCAAGATAAACTCAACCTACAAAAAGATACAATATGAAAATACTCATCCAGGCAACATGTAGTTACAATACGCACTCACATTTTTCAGTTCACCTGATTCTTAAAGTTACAAATGAATAGTATCTTACCTTATCCACACTGTGACCTAGCCTTTTTAGTTGGTCTATTCGGCTTCTAGCTTGGACATAGGGATTGTATCTGAAACAATTTAAAAGTAAATAAGAATGTATAACCACTAAGTCCATTAATATAAACAGATAGTATCACAAACCTAAGGTGCACAAAATATATAAAAGAAAGGTGCACTTCAGTATATAAAATCAGATTTTAATAACCAATTATAGAGCAAAACATTAAAGAGAGAGGAAAAGAAGCTTAAGACAAGAATCACATGGATATGCGGGGTCAGCTAAACTAACAGAAATTACATATACGATATATATATATAATAATTGTCCACGTGTATAAGGACATCGCTATAGCCAAGTAGGTTAAATTAATAGCAATTTGTCATATGCTTCTAAACAATAACAAGAAGGGAAAAAAAAACTGCAAGTGAACTTTCAAAAACATATCAGCAATCTTTTTGAAATGGGTCCCCAATTCATATAGAGCTAAATACTGCATCAGCCACTTTCAAAATTTCCAAAGCTGTATCTTTTCTGCCTCTTATGTGAAGGAAATAGTGACGATAACCTAATAAAACAGTACTTCAACATGATTCTCATGGTTTAAACTGAAAATAAAGGCTGATTTGTACTCCAGAAAGGTTTACACCTTTCTAGATCTGATACCCTGAAGTCCTACTTTGACAATTTGTACCCAGAGTTTTCAAATTGACGTTTATATGACAATCTGATACCCAAAACCACAAAAACTGAAATCTGGCAAGAAAATTTATTATTCATTCACTTTACTATGTTAATATTCTTGAAAGATAAAACAAAGCAATCACCTTGCCCTAATCGCCCGCATGCTCGTGGGCTCGTACCCCGTATAGGACTGCGTGCTATACTCAAAATCCGAGTCCGGCCCCCCCGGACAATACACACAAATATTCCCCGTCGTCGCAATATGCGGGCACCGATGAGGCTTCGACATTACAGCAACAACAGCGATCCCCGACGCCGTCCTCACGGGCTTCGCCCGTAGCTTCGGGAGCAAGGCATCTCGGTCCGCCTCGGGGACTGCGGCGATCATCTCGACGAGCTTCGGGGCGCGGGAGAGGCCGGTACTTCGGCAGCCGGCGTATTTGAGGGCGTTGAGGTCGACGTCCTCGGCCGCGCGACGGAGAGAGCCGACATGGGAGACGATCTGCGATGGCCGGACGCGGGCTTCCTTCGTCAGAGCATCGCGGGGATGGCGACGCCGACCGCGGCGGGATTGCGGTTTTTTGCGGGGTTGGGGTTGAGGGTGCCCATCTAGTGTAAGGTTAGGGTTGGGTTTCGGGGGCGGGGCGGAGAAGGTTCCGTTGGGAATGAAGGGTGGATTTGTGGGAGAGAGAGGGATCGGGTTCCCGCAGTCTGGGTTTGGGTTTTAGGTAAAGGGGTTTTGTGATAGGAGAATTAAAAAAAGGGAAAATTGCTTGGAGGAACCCAAAAAAGTTGGTCAATGCATCCACCTCCCCCGCCCAAAAATCATAACCCCCAAGCCCTTAAATTGAAACATAAGTGCAAGTGTGCAATCAACCCCTTCTTCCCACAGCCCAAGAAATTCATTCCCAAATTACCCTTCTTCCCCATTTAAAACTTAATCTCTTTCATCCTCAAGCTGACCTAATCTGGCTCAAGACCTCTCCCTCCCCCACCACCGCCGACGCCGCAGCCTCCTCCCCCTTCCTCTTCCCTCCCCTCCCCTCCTCCTCCCTCCTCCGCCACATCCTCTCCTCCTCCCCCTTCCCCTTCCCCCTCCTCCCCGACCCCCTCCTCGGTTGGGATCCCAGCTTAATAGAACTGTAAGTTCAAAGTGCATTCTTTTGTCTACTTAACATAAATTCATTTTCATACATATACAAATTTCTTGCAAATTTTTAGTTTCCTTAGCTATTTCTTTTTGTAGACCTCTTGGATTGAGAGGACTGGCTTCCAAGGCGTCGTTTTGCACCCAAGGGACAAAAACTAGGCCAGGATTGAATTTCATATTGAATTTTTATTAAAGTAAATCCATAATAAAAATTCCGTTTTAGAGAAAATGAAGTGAAAATACGGATCGACTAAATTAACTATTGTGAAGTTTATTTATATAACCAGTTATTACCGTTACGCTCTTCTCCCATGCTCAAGCTCTGAAGATGAAGTTTGGTATTAAAAATTAATTTACTAAAACTTTTGATCATCTAATTATCTTACTGTTTGGTGCTTTTGTAATAGGTTCCAAGCACACCAGTAGTGAATGCACTCTCAAAGCAGAGGGCGATGCTGGAGAACATCCTCAGGGCTTGCATTGGCTTGGCTCTTGGGAACAACATGATCCTGGAGTACAAATGAGAGTTGATCTTGAGAGATCGAGGGATTAATAAATTTAGAGGGATTAGAGGAAAGGAGGAGGAAAAAAAGACCCTGTTCGTATAAGTTCTGCTTGGATGTTGTTGTGTTAATGGCTTGGTTTGTTTAGTTATGGTATGGGGGTGTGCTTCTCCTCTTCTAAATGTCTATGTAATGGTTCTTATTTTCTTTTCTTTTATTTTTTTCTATATTAATATCCAAGTGTCCTTTTATGTGATATTTATAGTCAATATGTGATATTTATAGATAATATGTGATATTTGCTATGTTATTCAAGTTTTTAATATTTATATGATTTATTACACTTGATTATGTGACATATGATAGTTTCATGTGACATATGACAGTTTCATGTCACATATGCTGTTTTTATGTGATGTTTATGCATTCTGTGTGGCATATGCTGCGTGTATATCACATATGATAGTTTCCTGTGACATTTTGGTATTATGTGTGACATATGCTGCTGTTATGTGATATTTTTACATTCTGTGTGACATACTCATTATCCATAACATATGCTGCTGTTATGTGATATGTATACATTACAGTGTGATTTAACCTCTTTTCAACTATAGAATGTGAGACTTCAAGAGTGCTCTCCATGCAAATTTCTTGGAGAATTTTTTGTTGCCATCTCGTGGCGAGTATTCATCATTTCCGTAATTTGCACACGAATGTGATTCATCATATCACAAATAAGAAGTGTTTTCGCCACACGAATCCAATTGTTGAAAGATTCAGTAACATTAGAAGTGATATGACCATATCTGTGTGTCAAATAAAAATTAACTACAAAGTCACATATAAACGACAACTGTCACAAGCAACGACAAAATATCACAGAACACAGATAAGAGTCACATATAATAGAGTATTGCTACATGAGACGAGTAAATGTCACACATAACAGACGAACGTATACTTGTATGCAGCAAACTCCAATAATTTTGAAATACGTTGAGCAACACTTGAGGCAAAACACATCTCTCTAAACTTCAATTTACAATTTTTAACAAGATGAAGTGTACATCTAGAAATATATCTTATAGATGAAGTACACATCTAACATTCATATGTAATACGTTAACGTCACATATGAGGTCTCAATGCCATATTTAATACTCAAAAGTCACAAATCAGATCTAAATATCATATATAAGGAAATAGGATGGTGGGTTGGGATTATAACTTCCTGATGTATTTTTGTTTGATGGGTTGAAATTCTTTATAAGGATGATTTTGATCCAATTAGAGTTCAAATTAGGAGTCTTGTTATGTTTCTTAGTTATTCAAGGTTAAATAGGAAAATGAGGGAACATATCTGTATCATAATTAACCGTAAATGTGACAAATAAGCATATCATGTGATATTTCAATGTTATATATGACAATTCAATCTTACATGTGATAGTTCCACATTATATGTGATATTTAGATATGATTTGTGATATTTGGGTGTTGTATATTATATTTGGGTGTTGTATGTGATATTTGGGTGTTGCTTGTGACATTTGTTGTTTATACGTGACATTTGGATGTTGTATGTGATATTTGGGTGTTGTATGTGATATTTGGGTGTTGCTTGTGATATTTGTTGTTTGTACGTAACACATTCACTATCAAAAAATTACAGCCAAATATCACATACAATGGATATAAGTCACATCTAATAGAGTCATTCCACATGTGACAAATAAGCATATCATGTGATATTTCAATGTTATATGGGTTGTATATGATATAAGCCACATCTAATAGTCATTCCACATGTGACAAATAAGCATATCATGTAACAAATAAGCACATGTGGAATGACTCTATTAGATGTGACTTATATCTGTTGTATGCGATATTTGGGTATTATTTGTGATATTTATTGTTTATACGTGGCACATTCACTATCAACAAATTACAGTCAAATATCACAAATTGTGTCACTATCAACAAATTACAGTCAAATATCACAAATTACAGCCATGTGTCACGTATAAACAACAAATATCACAAGCAACACCCAGATATCATATACAACACCCAAATATCACAAACAACACCCAAATGTCATGTATAAACAACAAATGTCATAAGCAACACTCAAATATCATATACAACACCCAAATGTCACGTATAAACAACAAATATCACAAGCAATACCCAAATATCACATATAACACCCAAATATCACATACAACACCCAAATATCACAAATCAGATCTAAATATCACATATAAGGTAGAACTGTCACATGTAAGTTTGAATTGTCACATATAATATTGAAATATCACATAATATGTTTATTTGTCACATTTATGGTTAATTGTGATACATATATGTTCCCTCATTTTCCCATTTAAAGTTGAATAACTAAGAAACATAACAATACTCCTAAAGTGAACTCTAATTGGATCAAAATTATCCTTACAAATGATTTCAACTCATCAAACAAAAATACATCAGGAAGTTACAGTCCCAACCCACCATCCTATTTCCTTAGTAGAACCAATCTACAATAATGTGCAGTAAACAATGAACTCAAAACTCAAATCTAAAGCAAACAAATTTCCCTCTTCTTCTTTTTTTTTTGGGTGCACTGAATTAGGTACAAATCTTCGATGTATACTTCATCTCCTACGAGCTGGGGAACCTTGATGTTCTCGTGATCTCGACTGCAGAATTAGAAGCATGAAAAGAGTATTTATTAGTATTAGATATTGTTTGGTTGACAACAAACAATAGAACTGCAGAAGTGCTTAATGGAGTGACCTTTATATTTTCATTGTTAATTTGTTTTCAGACATAGAAATATACTGTAAGTAATTACTATGCGTTTTAAGTTATACCTGGACCCAAAATTAGTGGATTGATTCGGATTGACCCATAGATTGGTTCAAATACAAATTTTATTAGAACATCTTCGTACAAACATGATGATGTTCGGAGTATTTCATTAATTTATGTTGAAAAAAATACCATCATAAAACTGGGGCTTTTCTACAATTTAATTAGTCACAAAAAACAAAGTTTGGTTAAGAGAGTTTCTCACGTTTTCAGCATGAGCCAGTGCCAGAGCCACTTGCTCTTGTCATCAGAATCAGTAACAGAGAGCTCCCTTGGGTGCAAAACGACGCCTTGGAAGCCAGTCCTCTCAATCCAAGAGGTCTACAAAAAGAAATAGCTAAGGAAACTAAAAATTTGCAAGAAATTTGTATATGTATGAAAATGAATTTATGTTAAGTAGACAAAAGAATGCACTTTGAACTTACAGTTCTATTAAGCTGGGATCCCAACCGAGGAAGGGGTCGGGGAGGAGGGGGAAGGGGAAGGGGGAGGAGGAGAGGATGTGGCGGAGGAGGGAGGAGGAGGGGAGAGGAAGGGGGAGGAGGCTGCGGCGTCGGTGGTGGTGGGGGAGGGAGAGGTCTTGAGCCAGATTAGATCAGCTTGAGGATGAAAGGGATTAAGTTTTAAATGGGGAAGAAGGGTAATTTGGGAATGAATTTCTTGGGCTGTGGGAAGAAGGGGTTGGTTGCACTTATGTTTCAATTTAAGGGCTTGGGGGTTATGATTTTTGGGCTGGGGAGGAGGATGCATTGACCAACTTTTTTGGGTTCCTCCAAGCAATTTTCCCTTAAAAAATAAAAAACTTTTTATAAAATAATTAACAAAATCGATTTTTTTGTTAAATAATTAGCAAAATTGACTATTTTTTTGGCTAACTTATCAAGGCTAGCAAAAAAGAGGTTGATTTTGCTAAATTTGGTGTTAAAATTATATATGACTGGTGGTCATGTGTGCTCACACGAGATAACCCACTTGAGGATGAGCCGTTGTACTTGTGTTAAACAGAAACCACCTCTATCTCAATACAACTAAGCAGCTATTCTTGTCAAAGTCTACCATGCAATAAAACAAACTAGCTGCAAGTAAACCATAATTATAGGTTTTCTTTCAATTTCAAGAAGATTTGAGTCAAATCAACCTATGATTAAGAACCCTAAACTTGCATTCAATTAAAACTCTAAAAGAGGAAACTAAGACATACATCGAAGGGGCCCAGGACCGCCATCAGAATTGAAGGAATTGAAAATTTTTCCCGCCAAAGCGATTGTTTTAGTTGGCGGTGGCTTCGGCTCTAAAACCCCTCCCTTTCGTCTTTTTTGGACACACTACAGGGTTCACCGGCGGTGGGATTGATTGCGGATCTCAGCCTAGTGGCGATTGTTGGTCTCTTTATTTTGATGATGTTTAACAAACAATTTACCACTAATGTTGTTTGTCTAGCATTTGTGTTTATTTATTTATTATAGACAAACAACAAGTTGGAGGATGGATGGAATTGCGCATTCACGATCATATCCAATGGAGGTTGGCGGAATTGTGGTATAAAGCCTACGCAATTCAAAATTCAAGATCCAAGTTCAAGCTTCATCCGCAAGTGTACCAAGATAGAGCTTCGTTGAAGATCACAAGCTTGGGTATAATTTAGTTTAGGTTTTATATTATATGTGTTAGTACCTTAAGCTCAATCATATATACACACACATTTTAGTTTTGGTTTCTATGTATATATATAGTTATATATATACATACATGATTTTTATCGTTTTCATATTTATAAATATGAAATTACATTTTTCATATTTGTTATTGTGTTTTGGTTTAGCTACATAGATATGAAACTGAAGGATATCGTGCTATGTCTACATGCATAATACACAGCGGAAGACATGTATGTACAAAAAATACTAAGCATGTAGAGAGCATGAAATATTCATATGGATCGTCTAATTAAATCTAACATGATCCTTATTATTAAGTGAGCATACAAGAGTTAGAAAGTCATACTTTCGTAGCGTGATTCGATGGAAGATCGAATAACCCCTAGCTCTTGCTCCTTGTAGTAGAAAATCTCCTTGTAGTGGATCTCCAAGTCTTCAAGTGAGCATGATAAAATTGGAGTCTT